CCTGTTAAAATCATTTCATGCTGTGTAGAACTGTTTGGGTGTATTTTTCATCTGTCCTTAAATTGCTTAATATATTCAGACTTTACAGGCTCAATTAAGTCTGAAAATTATATACTCATTTTCTAATTATTTTTTTTAATCACTAAGTAGTTCAAAGTTTGCCATTTTACATAATAATAAAGCACAATTTTATAGTTAGTGGACAGCTCAATATGCAATTATCTGTTTGCACAACCAATTAAGAGTTGTCTTCTCCAGACATGGCTGAGAAAAATCACACTGTCCCATAAAAAGCTGCTGTTCCAGTTACAAGCGCTTCGAAATGCTCACCTTTTGATGCAGCTTGCTTTCTGGCACTGATCAGTGTGCTAAACATTCACCGTGTTAAGATATTTTCATGTGATGAGCTGCTCTAAATGTGGAATATATTTGGGAGAAAAAACCATGGAAAAAGTAGGTAAAGATTTTTTTTTTTTAGGATAATATTGAGGCCTAAATATTTTTAATCTTAATTTCAACCTTAATTTGACATCCCATTTCTTTAAAGCAAGCATGGACTATGATGAACTATGAGGTAGAAAGGCCAAGCAGTAGACTGAAGAAGGCCATATGAAGGTTTGGGCAATTGAAGAATGAGAGGAGGATGAGACTATTTCATTTGTAGGCTGAAATGCAGCTACAACTGCCTGTTGTTAGAGTTGATTTTTACTGAGCTCACCTTCTGCAATATGCCCAGGAGAAGGTCTGCACAGACCCCCTCACTGCCTCCCAAATGGGAGGATGTTTTGCTGCTCCTGGGGAGTATTTCTGGGGAGGAGCCCAGTGGGTTGGAAGGGTTCTTACTTTCCTGACCAAATTCCTAGTTTCCAGTGCAGTCTTCATCTAAAATTACATCCCTCTATAGCACTGTCTTATTTTTTAACTTTTAACTATAAGGAAGAGCCTATTCTTAGCAAATAATATTTCAATGCTTTTCTTAGGATGGTTCATATGTTCGGAACTTATCAACAAATGTGATTTATGATAGCAAAGGTGGGGAGAAAATAGCCAAGATAAACATTGCCCTTCCTTTGAAGCAGTATAATTCATTAAAAAGTAGTGTTTTAGGTGTCTTGGCCAACTTCTTGGAGTTTCTTCTTTATTTCTTTGTGTTTATAGTCTGTGAAGTTTAGTGTATTCAGGAACCTGGCTACCTGCAGTAGGCTTTTTAGCCTTGTCTGCACACCAGCGTGGGGCTCTCCTGTTGGTTACTGAAATAGCATTTTCCAGAGCTGACAGCAGCAGCAGCAGTTTGTTCCTGGCCATACCCCCTCTTTCTCTTCAACAAGCAAGTCTGCATTTTGCAGAAATGCCTAAATGAACCCAGGTACAGCAGCTGCACTAAGTAACTTCAGCGTGTCACAGAAACATAACCTGGCTCTCTGCAGGTCTTCAGTTATCTTCAGGGCACGGTTTATGATGCCCTCATGTAAATAAGCCTAAAAACATTACTGTTAGTCTAGGCTAACGTAGGGGACAAATGTACCATGGTATCCATCACCTGCTAACTTTTTCTTTTTTTTTTTTTTAAATTCACCCAGCGATATCACACAAGTAACATCTTAGAGTTTTGTAACTGAATTCAAAAGCACCAAATGAAATCTAAAGCTGTCACTTGAATTGATGGGAATTATATTTTGATCCCTTTTACACACATGCATATATATGTACAACCATATATACATGTGTATTTATGTATCTGTGTGTTTATGTATATATAAAAAGCAAGATATAGCTTTATTTCTGACATGCCTCTAATCCTGAATTCTTGAATGCATTGTTTTTTGTTTGTTTGCTTGCTTTTTAATATGGACAAGATAATTCCTGATAAAGAGCTTTGCAAATGCTTATTTCTCTGAAAAGGCAGTGAAGACGGTGCAAAGCAGAGGCCTGGCCATAGGATTGTACCTAAATCCGAGGATTTGGGCTTGATACCTTCAGCCTAGCGTGACACAAGAATTCCCTGTGTGTATCTGTGCCACCCATCTGTGCTTTAGGATTTCTGCCTTTAATACAAGCCTGTATTCTTACTGTTGGGTCTCAGAATTTAGATCAGCTGGGAAACGGGGGAAAATATTAAAGGAGAAGTTAAAAAATACTGCAACAGCAGTAGTACTTCTAAAAAACACTTGATGAGTTCTATTTTCTGCAACGCATTAAAAATGTCTAGCGCACTAAACTCGGTGGGGTGGTTGTTGGTTGTTTGGTTTTTTTTTAATTATTTTAAAATAAAATCTGTGGGTTTAGGACATTAAAAAAAAGAAATAAATGAAAAAGCTTCATCGTCCTCAGTTGGGCAGTGCCAGAGAGACAGCAGTGCCTGTGCTTTCCAGGCTGCACCTTTTGTTCCCCAGAGCGGCAGGGAATGGCAGCAATGCGGAAGCAGCAGTTTAGCTCCTGGGCACAAAGGGATCCTTAATGCCAATTAAAAAGCAGGCTTAATGAGTACCAAAAGCAGCCCCCTCAAGCCAGGCCTCCTTAGCTAAAAAAAGATGGGAAAGCAACATGTTATAGGAAATGATGGAATTTTGAAAATCCCATAAGAAAAAGGGGAACACCCTTTGCCTTCGTGCTGCATCCTCAGCTCTCACTCTGCTAAAGCTCTACAAAAAGATGTATGAAACTACAGAGGAGTAACTGGTGTAACTGCCCCGTTCGGAAAGTGGCTTGTAGCTGGCTGGGGGATTGTTTGTGGTCAGTGTGTTATTTCTAACTAAAATGGCACTTCATAAAAATAACAAATTGTTGGCAACCATTGCTCTTTGAATTCTATTTCTAGTTCTAGTCTCTATTTCTGTTCTTCTCGGTTGCTTTTCTCCTAACAAATCAAACTTCAGGATTGCAGCAGGAAATTTAGATTTAACCTCAAGAGTCAATGTTTTGTCTCATGTCTGCTCTAATGTGATACAGATGTTGGAACTGCTGTACGTAACTCAAGATTTTATTGAACTAGCCCTCCCTGCCTAATAGAAAACATAGCTAACTGGAGTGCACATTAAACACAGATCATTCTGAAGGCATGTGAATTCTGAGCTTGTGAATTTTAGAAATATATTTACAGAATACTTGGGCTATTGCTTCAATTGCACATCCTTCAGCTGTCTGATATAGAGTTTCTGCTATGATAAAGAAACAGAGCCCTTTATATTATTTCTTTTAGAAAGAAAAACCAAGGACTAAGCATGTAAAAATGCAATACAAAGTTGGTTTTTTTTTTTTTTTTTTTTTTCCACTTCTTTGTTTCCTTTTCTGAGCTTGTGAATTTTAGAAATATATTTACAGAATACTTGGGCTATTGCTTCAATTGCACATCCTTCAGCTGTCTGATATAGAGTTTCTGCTATGATAAAGAAACAGAGCCCTTTATATTATTTCTTTTAGAAAGAAAAACCAAGGACTAAGCATGTAAAAATGCAATACCTGAAATTATTTACAAGTTGGATATTCTTTTTTTTTTCCACTTCTTTGTTTCCTCCTCTTTAAAAGATAGTCAGAAAGACTGGAGAAACAGATTTTCCTTTGCATCCCTTTTTACCTCTGTTTTCCAACAATCCTGATCTCCACTATTCCTGCTCTTTTAGTTTTCCTTCTCTTGAGTTGCCACTCTGGCCAGCGTGTGCTAAACACTTGGGTATGTCTTTGATGAGGACTGAACCGTAAACACTGAAATGTCTTGAGAGTCTGCTGTGCCACATTAGTCCCAGTACAGAGTCATCTGAAATCAGTTCTTCCCTCTGCTCATTCTTATTTTTCGTTAGTTCTAATAATGAGATTAAAGTTTGCTGCTTTTCTGTACAAACAGTAAGTAACTGTGTTTCTTAAATGAGATTTTTTTTTTAAAGTAAAATCGGAAGGTTTACAACATCAAAGTGCTTTTCTTGCCCATAACAAAATAGGAATTATGTATTAATTTAGTGCACCAAAACTAATCCTCATGCATTATAATGTAATCTAAAAGCTGGGCGGAAATACGCTACGCAAAGCAATCCCCAAGCAGCAAACAGACCAGGGAAAAGCCCTTGATACACAGAAAGTGAGGAAAAAACCCCAAACCAAACCCAAAGATCTCTGCAGGGAAACACATAGAAAACGAGTGTCACATTAGAAAAGGATTAAATATATTTTTGCCAGTTAGGCTGACATACTGTTGCTTTTTTTGTTTAAAACTTGAACTTCCACTACTTGCTGGAGGTCTTCTTTGGTCCTTGGATGGGCCAATGTATTTGGGATATGCTAGACAGGGTACAACTGGGTCTCCAGGCAGCTCTAGGGCGTTTGGCCGCTGTGTTGGCAGTGCCAGCAGCAATGCAGATAGACACAGCGCTGGCAAAGACAAATCCTTTGTCCTTTATGGGTTAAAGCTGAGCTCCAGAAAGGTCACAGCTCTAAAGAAAAAATAAAATGATGGTCATTGTATGAAAATGAATTCATTTCAGCCGTTGTATCAGCAAAATTAACTGGACCTTAGTATATTGAACTATAAACCTAGTAGTTCCCCAGTAATGTGGGCAGCACTGTTTGAGGTTAATTCTCTTTATATATTCCATTGCAAAGCTTTTGGTGTCAGACTTGCTTTTTTTTTCTACATGAACAGAGATCAGCTCATGCAAAACGGGGCCGTCACCTTTCTTGGGTCCAGCAAAGCCAATAAATACGTGTGATAAATATGGTTGATAAATAACTGATCCTACCTACTAACTTTTAAAAAATCTTTCTGGCCTTCTTACTCATTATACAAGAAAGTCTGTACCAGCAACTATTTCTAGCAGCTACCTTTTGGGAAAATAAGGAAGGTTTTATTATTGCCTAAAGCCTCCAGACTCAGTTTGTATCCTGTAATGGGTACAGGAATACTGAGTCATTTTTAAAATAGCACACTGGCTCCGTTATATGAGAAAACTCTGAGGTCATCAGTGTAGCAGGACTGTAAATCATTACATATGAATCTTTTTCTCTTCCAGGCTTCAGTTTATTTCTTTCATTTCCACAAACACTCTACAACATTCACAGGTAAGTTAATTAACATTAAATAAGTTCTATCCCTTCCCATTTAATTCTGTATATTTAACAGTTTCCTGGCTTGAGAAATATATTTAATGCTTGAAGTAGCCTAGCTTCTTTCAGCCAGATGCTGTCCTGATAATGTTAAAGGTTTTTCTGGTCAATTTTGAGAATCTGACTGGTTTCTTGTCCGTGTTTATAACTCTTCTCCTTTTCCTTTCACTTGCCATTCTCCAGTGTCCTGCACAGTAAATTGAGGAAAGCTCTGTAGTTATAAACACTGCATTTTATTTACAGTCAAATGTGATTGTGTAGCTGATCATCCTGCACTCCATGAAGTACTTTATTGTCCTCCAGATCCTTCTGTAAGACTCTCCTCTGTATGAAGTCTGCAGATAATTGCCATCAGATACAGAGTAGGCAGGTGGCAAGCTGTGATTACATCTAAGAGTTGGCTTGCTGCACCTAGGAATTTTATACGTGGTTAGTTTATACTCTGATGGCCTAATTTTATTAATGCTGCCTGCCTTCCTCTAGTATTTGCTAGCTCATTTCACTCCTCTGTCACATCAGGTCTCTCAGATCCTAAGTGTTCTGAAGGAGGGACTGTCACTCCTGTCTTCAGGAATTAGTGGAAATTAGTATTAACATTTTAATTTTGGAGAGACTAGAAGACAGTAACACATCACTCCTACACAGCCCTTTTCATGTTGCAATACTCTAGTTCATGAAAGTAGGAACGGCCCTGAGTTTGGGGCAGGAAGAGTGCAGAGTCAGGAGGTGTGGGGCAGGAAAGGCTGAGGAATCATAGTATTATTTTGGTTGGAAAAGAGCTTTAAGATCATGAAGTCCAACTGTAAACCCAACACTACCAAGTCCGCCATTAAACCATGTCCCTCAGCACCATATCTACATGCCTTTTAAATACCTCCAGGGATGGTGACTCCACCACTTCCCTGTGCAGCTGTTCCAATGCTTCACAACCCTTTTGGTGAAGAAATTTTTCCTAATATCCATCCCTAGTATCCAATCTAAACCTCCCTGGCGCAGCTTGAGGCTGTTTCCTCTCGTCCTGGACCACCTGGACAAGATCCTGTGCAACCTGCTCTAGGTAGACCCACCTCGGTGGGAGGGGTTGGACCTGATGATCTCCAGAGATCCCTTCCAACCCCATATGATTCTATGATTCTATGATCCTACCACTTATTGCAAAGACACAAACATCTCCTCATTACAACTCTGGAAAAGCAGACCTGGAAAAGCCAGGCTTTGGGGCAGGGTGTGGGGAGCAGCTGCAGGAGGGGGCTGGGGACCAGTGGTGCAAGGGACTCCAGTTTGGGGAAGACTGGGAGGAGGAGGAGGACAGCACCTTGGGCATATCAGTCCCATGTCAGGAGCATCATTTGCACCAATGAACATTTAGGTTTTTGCTTTCTTTTCTCTTATCTCAGGACTTTGTTTAGTGTTTTCCCTTTCAAGTCATCATTTGCCGTAGTTTTTCTTGAGCCTTCCGGTGGGTTTATTGTTCCTCTGAAGAGAAGAGCACGGTAATTCTAAACATCTAGTCAGGGTTGCTTGAAGGATGTACACACAAGCTGTTTGGTGATGAGGAATTTGAGTTTTCCAATTATCTCCTCTCTTTCTTCATCCTCCTGCCTGTTCTCAGTTGGTATTTTACCAGAAGAATATTATTTTTTTTGGAATGAGAAAGATAGGGCATTGGAACAGGCTGCCCAGGGAGGTGGTGGAGTCACCGTCCCTGGCTGTGTTTAAGGGCCGTTTAGATGCAGTGCTAAGGGACATGGTGTAGGGGAGGACTTTGTAGAGTAGGGTAGATGGTTGGACTCGATGATCCCAAGGGTCTCTTCCAACCTCAATGATTCTATGATATTTATTGGATTTTTGTTGAGCTGTTCCTATAAATACAGATATTCAGAGATTTAAAACAGGACATTTCCCAGTCCACTTCAAACACAGCGTTGCTCTTCTGAACTATTGGTATGAAGAAAGGGTTTAATGGTAGTGAACTTTAGTAAATTAAACCTCCTATTCCTTTTATAACTTCTCAGTGAGTTTTGCCTGAGTAAGAAAGATGCAGAAGCTCTTGATGACCTTACAGTTACTTTTTTCCTAGCCAATAGAAAATCCAGTCTTTTACTACCTTTGATAGTACTACCTTTAAAAGACAGCTTAAAATATCCAAGAAAACACGAGTCATTAATTTTCCTGTGATCTAATTAGAAAAAAAAAAATCCTCCCTGACAGGGAGGCAATGGTGCAGCATTGTCTAGCAACATCACTTGTAGACCTAAACAACAGCAATCCCTTCAGCTGTATGCTTGACTGCGTTGCTGCTGAAAATGTGGGCTGTATTGGCTGAAGTAATTTCATGCCTCATGTCAGAAGTTACATCCTCTAAAAATATGTATATATTTTTTGAATTCAGCGCAAGCCTGCATGCTGTGCATTTGGATGAGGATGCACAGCATCCTCACTGCTCACTTTGTGTGTGGTGGGGAATTGGTGAAGCTGATCAGAAACTATGTGAATAAAACGCTATCATTTTATCCCAGAAAGAAATGTTACTTGGATATGTTACAATTTCTCGTTAAATGTCTGGGTAGCTAGCACATTTGCACAGGTAGTTGTGTTGCAGGATGAATTCTTGGGCTGTGTTTAGGCTAGAGTTTGAAGTTACTGTGCAGAAATAGAATGGATACATTTTCTTACTCCATAAAATGATTGTATTTATTTACAGAGCACATTTAAAGAAAACATTGAAGAATGATTCTTTGTATGAAGGACTCCTACCTCTTGCGTCACCTCTGTTGCTGTTCATTCTTCTTACAGTCTGGGTGGTTTTATCTCCAAGCAACATATTAGCAAAGCAGCCAAGACTGTTTTTATGGATGGTCGGGGTTGCTTTCTCAAATGTTACTGTAAGTATGTTTGTGGTGGTGGTATTATTTAGAGATTGCTTTCTAATTTTATGTGAATAAGCAGAAGGAAACAGAAACTGTAGTTAAAACTCAGCAGAATCACACCACTCTTCTACCTCTGTGTTACCCTCTCTTGGACAAAAATGCATCAGAGGAGTTGTCTGGACGCTTAACAGTACCTCAGTACCTACTCTACCACAGCATAAAGTTTTTATGAGGGTTCTTTATTTTCTGGAGAGTTTATGAAGAGTTCTGGGGAGGCCTTACTTCCAGAAATAACACAGAAATTCCCCAACACATAGGCAGGACTAGGGGACTTGTCTAAAGTGAAAGAAAGCTCAATACAAGCATTGATTTACCACCAAGAGTAGGGGCAGGGGTGTAGCCTTCACCTGCTGGTGTGCCCATCAGTGTGGTACATGTGTTCCCGTGTCCTACAGCTCAGCTGAGTCCACGTTTTTCCACCCCTATTCAGAATAAGCATTTTTTAGGGAAAGACAAAGGTGAGCAGAGGCCTTGCGATGCCTCTCTGCCCACAGGTTAGTGTCTCCTCTACCACATCATTGGGACAAATTTCCCCCTTTCAATGCCTGGGAGGCAACGTAAACCTCGGTGAAGTAATAACAAGGGCAGCCAGACTGTAATGCTGAGCACTGTGGTTAACCCAGGGCTTTCTTCTCTGGAGGAGGCCCTTTGCCTCTCTGTTTGCCAGGAGAGAGGCAAGAGAGCTGCAGCCAGGTAGAGAGGTCTCAGGTAATGCTAAAATACCCTAAAGGGTAGCGACTAGCGTCATTTTAGGAAGACAGCCTCCAACACCATCTAAAATTGTCTCACTGAGCAGTGCTACATCCAATTGGAAAAGTGAAAGTCTTGAAGAGCCTTCCATTATGAGAAAGAGCTTGGAAAATGCGGGATTTTGAAAGAGAAAGCGTAACCCCACTAGTAATTTGGATTTGGGAATGGAAAAGAAATAATTGTGATGCTTGTTAGATGTATCCTATAAATGAGGGTCACAAATCAAACAGTTTCATTGTAAGGACTTAATATCACAAAAGTTGGGTTGTTTTCAGATGTATAACTTTTATTGTATGCATTTTTCATTATCTAATCTACCCCTTTTTCTTAAGAGAAGAGTGTAGATTCCTAAATGAGAAATACAATTATTTCATAGCAGTGGGGAAAGTGCTTTCAGAGCCTGGCAGACGGCAGGTTCTGCGCATACGTCTTAACAGACTAAGAGCAGTAGTGGGAGGCAGAATTAAAAATAGTATGGAAAACCAGAAGTTTCTTTCTAGACTGCTGTTTATTGGCCATGGAGTGCAATGCATGTTCTTCTGGTCTTGTTTGTTCTTTTACCGAAACACCTACTGCAGTGTTAGAGGCTCGCATGAATTAAAAATGTATGCACAGTACTTGAAATTTTTAACATTTTAAAAGCAAGCATTAAAAATTTACGGGTGTTAGTTGGAATTTATAACGTCTTAAAAGTGAAAAACAAGCCTGTATTTCCCTTCACCTCCTCTGGTCCCTTGTACACACACGTTTCTTCCAGTAACAGAGTAAGGCTTGTCACGGAAATGCTTGTCTTCTCTGCGATAGTCTGACACGCTGGGTTTCCATTATTGGTTCTGTAAACTACAAACTACAGCCCATGTCTCTCTACCTGCCAGTATCTTGAACTTCTCATGCCTTTATAACACATTTAGCTGCCCAGAAGATCCCTTGGACTAGCTGCCTGGACTCAGACCTGGCCTCATAGATGTGCAATTCCAGGGCAAGTAGGGAAGGTGATGGACTCCTGGCCTCAAGTTGCACCAAGGGATGTTCAAATTGGATATTAGGAAAAATTTTTACACTGAAATGTTTATTAAGGGTTGGAATGGGCTGCCCAGGGAAGTGGTTGAGGCACCATCCCTGGAGGTGTTCAGAAGATGGGTTGACATAGTGATTAGTGACATGGTTTAGTGATGGGTTTTTTTAATCAGAGTTAGGTTGATGGTTGGACTAGATGATCTTAAAGGTCCTTTCCAACCTAGACAATTCTATGAGTCAGTGCTTCAGGACGAGGGGAAACAAGGAATGGCGGGAGGAGGGCAGAGCATGGTCTGTTTTGCAGCGCTGTGATACACCGAAGGGGAATTGCTCCAAATATTAATAAGCAATCTCTGTGAAAAATCGAGTGCCGTACTTAACGTGGTGCAATAACAGTTTAAAACACTGGGAAAGCCAACCTCTGGACAGGTGCAATTATTCAGGCAGAAAAATTACAGCATATAGATTGCTTTAGCCATTTCTGATACCCTCTGGAATGATTCCCAAAGGACTCATAAAACTAGTGTTATTCCAAAAACATTCACAATCAATTCTGATAATGCGTTGTAAGCAAAAATATTTACATTTGGTACAAATGCTTACTTCTTGCCTTATTGAAAGTTAATGATTTTTTCATGGTTTATTTTTGCATTCTTCAGCTTCCCCAGCACAGACAGTAAAGCCAGTATTTTTTCCCTAGGGTCAGACTCCGACTGCTGCTGTCAGGATTTCAGGCACTGCACAGGGAATGAGTTTTTCATTCTTCTACTGTTTTCAGGATACATAAAATCTATTTTTAGCCACATTTAAATTTTGATAGAAACTTAAATCAAAAAAATATTTTAGCTGTGCTCTTTTAAAAAAGGGAATAGTGTATGAGAAACACATTTCTTAAGGAGTGTAAAACATGTAGGTGTGTTTAACTGGTTTTAAAAATCTGAGCTTCAACTCCTCATGTTTCAAGAACTCAGTAAAATTAAGCTAATTGCTTTCAGTTAAACAATGCACCATATATTCATTTTTTTCTGCCATTCTGAGTGGGATCCCTTTCCCTGGGCCCCCAGCCACATCTCCAGGGAGTCCACTGCCATAAATGAGCCAAGAAAATGGTGTTTTAGTGCATGGAGGAGTGTTAGACAAGAAAAACAGGATTTAAAAGTGGCAGACAGTACTCTCCCTTCCTTCTATACAACGAACCAGAATATATTTCTGCCACACCATGTCATTAAAATACCAGTACGCTCTCCCAGTGATTAAGTGGTGGCGCATTTGATTTGGGGTTGCAACTTTACGAGCCCACGTGAAATCATGAGGTATCAACCAAACTCCCTTTCCATGAAGATGTACTTGGCTCATAAAGAGGAGCGTGTCAAAACACTGGAAAAGAGGTGTGTAATTTAAATTACTTGTAATAAAGTCCGTTAAGACTCACAGACAGTAAGGCAGAAAGATGTATCTATAGCAGCTTCCTCACCAAGAGGTGAGGAAGAAACCTCACCAAGAAACAAGCCTCATTTCGAACGTCAGCCTTGTTTTCCCCTCATCAAAAGCAACCTGCAGAGAAAAATGGCCACACTTTTGCCTGGACCCCTGGGCTGACCCAGTGCTTCTCACCCACAGTGCAAGGTGATCATCTGCCAGATGAGCAGCACCCGTCCAGAGCTCTTCCACTGGTTCCTCTTCCCCCTGGCGCTGGTGGTCTACGCGGCCATCTCTGGGCTGCTGGGCTGGACAGAAGAAGCAGTGCTCGCCGTCCTCACCGCCCTGGTCACAGCCGCACACGTGCACTTTGGGGTCTGCGTGGTGAGTGGGACCTTCTGAAGCAGCCACGGGAGGGGAGAGCTGCACTGGGGCAGGGAGGAGGATGGGGTCCGGGAAAGGGTTTCCATGCCACCTAGTTGGGGCAGTGGCTGGAAGTCTGAATGTTCAGTTATGGCATTTTTTTTTTTTCTGTATATTGTTTTATTTAGTCCAAATTTAAACAAAAACAGAATTTTACTGCAGGCAGTGCCTTTTTGCACATGGAGCAACTTCAGTGACTTGAATTATTCCAGTGTAGTCAACTGTTGTCAGCTTTAAACCCATCACTATCAGGTGGTTTTACATAGCAGTAAAAAATTCATGTGGCATGAATTCTCCCACTGCTTTTCCTTTTCTTCTTACTGGACTGAAAAAATAGGAAGGTAAAATGCATAGAATTCATAAAATAAGGTTAACTTCGCTTTGAAATTACAAGCAAAATAACTGTCCCAGTTCCTCATCTTGTCTTGGCCCTCTATTAGCATCTCTCAAGCTAGAGACATGAACGGTTTCCCAGTGCATTTTTGTGTCTGCTAGGTATCAGTTTTGTCAGTTATCATGATCTGAATTACTGCTTAAATTCATTTTTCCTCAGTTAATGCCCTCTTTTCTCAAGAGCATTGTCAAATAATCCTTAGGAAAGTGTCTTAATGGGGATTTGCTTTCAGGTAACACACGTTGCATGGCAAAGATCTCATCTCACAGGGAGTTGGCCAGCATTCTTTTAAGATAAACCATCGGGGCATAAGGATGTTTCTTCCTGCCTTTGAAAGAAAGAGGCTTTTTGCCAGCAGACATTGGCGTTGTAGTAGATTTTACCCCAGCACCAAGATGGGCCAGTCAGTGGAGGTCAGAATGGAAATCCCTGGTCCAAATTCGCTATTGACCGAGGAGGCCCAGCTCCATCAGAGTTCATGTCACCTCTGAGTCTGGTCCACAGTGACTGAACTTCCCATCAGTGTGCTGCAACAGCACAGCTCTCTTGCTTGAATACTCGTAGGTGCCCGTGTACTTGTAGGTCCCCAAGTACATGAGGACAGTAGTTGGGTCCTCCTGCCTCTGACCAGGAGAAGAGAAATGGTGAATTGTGAAGCACTTTCAAAACTGGTCACTAATCTCTGTGATTTCTCTTTAGGGGAGACAGCTGAGCGAGCACTTGAACATTTACATCTTTTCCCTGAAGAAACGTGTCCAGGAGTGAACAACTGCCCTATGATCAGACTGTAACACTTGATGTGGAGATTTGCAACTCTTCTGGTGTGATAAATAGTTGGAATTAATCTGATTAAAATAACCAAAGAATAGAATAGTCCAGATATCCGAACCACTGCGACAATGAGCTATGCAGCAAGATGCTTCATCTCAGAGGAAGATTCCCATCCAGCAGAGAAGTGTTTACCAGTTGTTCTGCTGCTAATATTTATTCTCTTCATTAATGCCACGTTTCTTTGTCTTCCTCCTCCTCGCCACTGTGTCCAAAGTCCTGGATAAATCCATGCCGGGTTACATGAGATCCTTGATGGTTTATAACCAGGACTGGTTTTGTCCAGCCTGGTCACCAGTGGGACCCCAGCAATGCAAACCCTCCCTGTGTATCCCCCCCTTTTCAGACACCTGTGCCTGCTTCATTTCCCATATTTATTTTCTCACAACTCATTTCTTCCATACAACCTCCTGAAGGGCTTACGCACATTGAGTCTTTTCCTCACCTCACATGAACGTGTGAAGAAAAGAGACTGAGCTCAGAAAGCTACGGGCACAGCAAGGTGTTTTTGAAATCTATGATTTTTTTTTTGCCCTCCCAGCATTAAGATCAGTCTCCGCTGACCTGCATCTCTCAGAAATGCAGGCTCCGTACAGCAGCAACTGTCCTTACACTTATTTTCTAGGCAGTAACAAGCGCATTGTTGATATTTCAGTAGCAACAAGCAACATATACCCTACAAAGGTAACCAGCTGAGAATAAATTTGGCCAACAAACCTTTGAAGATGCTTGTATTTCACTGCAAAACCAGTCAAACCTCATCTGTGAGCACAGAATGCTAAGCGAATCATTATTTTCCTGTGTGCTTGAAACAAATTCCTGTGGTTTTAGACAATGACCAAAAAAAGAAAAAGAACTGAGACCAGAAAAGCTTTTTTTAGACGTTACACGTTTGCGTGCACATGTCAACTGCTCACTTCAGCTATAATATATGTAGGTTTTCTGCGTGCCTTGGAGGAAAGAGTAAGAATTGGAGTTTCATCTCTTTTCATGCGCTGCCCTAGCCAGAGGGGCTCTGTGGCCTTGAAGCACTAATGAAACAGTCTGTCCACGTGCCCCCAGGTAAGCTGGATAGTGCAGTCCCTGCACAGAGGGATGTGTTTGACCGACTGGCATGTTTATTAACTAGGGAACTATCTCACTTGCCAGCAGGAGGGCAGAAGCGTCGTCGTTGAGCTGCTGAGCCTTAAGTTCACCTTTTTTCAGTTCTTGGACCATTTCTCTGGCTTTATCACTGGTCCGATCATTTTTTTTCCCCCCTTCCATCAGCAGCTCCTGTTAATATTTTCAGCTGAGCATCAACTAGCTGTACCACTGTGAACAGCTTCAATTTCAGTTTGTATGAGCTGTTACAGTCGTAAGAGCAGTAGTTGACCCACCACGTCAGCCAGGCAGATTTCCCTCAGCAGCCCTTGCGGTAGGCACCAGGGGAGAAACCTGCACATCAGCTTCCCCTCTTCACAAAGCAGAAATACCACACCGACTTGGAAAGTATCTTATGGTTTGAAGGTGCGTGTGTTCCGCTTACCAGACAAGCATGCCGAGGGTCCCACCTCCCAGATGATCATCACACTCCAGTCACAGTTCAAGCAGCTTAAGGCTCGAGTTAGGCAGAGGACACAGGTCAGCCTGTCCATGCTGGTTTGGAGATTTTGCTGAGAACCCTGCAGGGAAGGGAGTTTCCTGCGCCCTCCAGCATCGCTGTGGTCCAGCTGGAGCAATGGGAGGAGTCTTCCAGGCTTCCTTCCCGCTGGTGGGGTGGGTCCTGCCCCTGCCCTGCATGATGCCTAGGGAGCTTGGGGTCTCCATGGAGGTGCTCCCTGACTGCCCAAGGACTCTCTTAGAGCAAGGCTGATGGCTGTTTATTTCATGAAGGATGCTAAGAAAAGGCAGTCCTGTGTTTGAAGGGCAACACCACCTTCAATGTAGGCACACACCCAGCGATCTCACTGCTTGGTGAAGTTAAATATTACATCCCATCCCAGGTACGCTGCCACAGAAGCCTCACCTATTTCAACAGTTTGCATTTAACCCACCCACCCAAAGTACCTGGAGGAAGTCCCAACGAGAAAAGAGTTAGAATGAAATGGATGGGACGTGGTTGTGGAGGAAGAACTCTGGCCAGGCTTCCCTTTTCCCTCTGTCTCGCAATTATTTCTGAGTTGGAAATAAGGGTCACAGAAGCAGCACAAGCTGATGCACTGTAATGGAGTACTTTGAAATATTTCATTAAATGAAATTATAAAACTTGAACTGCTACAACCTGCCTGCACTTGTATCTTTCTAAAGAGAAAAAAAGTATCACTTTTATCACTTTCAAGGGAAATTAAGCTCCGGCCAGTTTTTTTACATGCTCTATGAAGACACAGCAAATAACTTTCTTTTTCCTTTTTAAAGCAACTTGTCCATACAATCTCTATGAAGACAAGTATAAAAACAGATCACGTATTGCAGAGTGTACGTATGGAATTGCCATCTTAGATGGTAACTGGTTCAACGAATGGGAATAAAAATGCTTTGTTCACAGGGTGGTATGATCACCCATTTATTTCATGAAGTCAGGTCATCTTCATACCCCTACCTAACAGTCTAACAATAGTTATTTTTTGTCACAACATTGTGGCAGAAAAGTTTTCAACTATTTGAATGGGAAAATACACTCCTACTTTTTTTATGCAGTAGCCAAAAAACCATGCCTTCCCTCTAATCTTACAAGAAGCAACTGAACTAAGCACAGCTCTCCCAGATTCGAGTGCCTGGGTTGGAAACGGGCTCCTCTGGTCCCTGCTTCATCCTCCACCCCTCTACCAGAAACCTCCTCTAAGTGGGGCTGGGCAGTGGTTCAGCCACAGCCTGGGGGAAGGAGGACAGCCAGGCTCGTGCTGTCTTCTCGGTGGTGGCACACCACCAGCCAGCCTCAAGCCATGGCAGAAAGAAGTCCTCACCCACGGCTCAAAGCCCTGGAGATGTAGCAGAAGGACAGCCAGGCTCGTGCTGTCTTCTCAGTGGTGGCACACCACCAGCCAGCCTCAAGCCATGGCAGAAAGAAGTCCTCGCCCACAGCTCAAAGCCCTGGAGCATCTACTGCAAAGATCAGAGCTGTGAGAATTGCAATGAAGTTTCCCCCTTTTCTTCCAAAACCCTGCTATTTTAATCTAAAAGGTAGGTGGCTTTTTGGTACCGTGCTGAAGATTCATCCCCAAATATTTGGCCGTTGCAAGAAGAGGCCACTGGGAGCCTTTGCCATAGCACTCTCTTCACCTCCTGCCTGCTGCGAGTTTTGCTCTTGCTGTATCAAAGCTGAGACACACCAAGAGATTTAGCACTCTGAAACCAGAAAGCATTTACCATAAAGGAGGAGGATCTGTTGATGTGCACATCCACAGATTTTCTCTCTGATTTGCAGAAGGTGATACAGTTGCTGAGCTCTTTGGGAAACAGACACTACCAATATTCACACACAAAATATGAACTTTTTTTTTTTAAAGCAGCTGCCTTTCTCTTCCTGCTCCCATATGGATTCACTAATGAAACAAAAATATGTACTTAAACCAGGAAAGTATTATTTTAGAATGTTTTGAATAGTCTCTAGAGCTAGGCAGATTTTAACATATATTTTTTTATTAAATATGTAAAAAGATAAACGCAAGTCAAGTTATTCACATATTCAGACAAAAATCTACTCTACCATGCGACAATTGGTGGATAATGTAAAATGACTGATACATCTGAATAAGACTTTTTTTTTTTGTATCTATTATGCCATTACTTATCTATTTATAATTAACAATACATATGTTTACATTCCTTTCAGTTTACATTTAATATATAACCAAAGCTTTATGGTGTGCTATTTAGTAAAGGTAATTACAAATGCATATTAAAACCATAACGGAAGAATGGGTTACTCACAGGGTTTGGGGGGGGAGCAGGACATCTCTTTTCCCTTTCAGAGGGCAGCTCTCCCCCCAGCACAGCCACGTTTCTACCACCCAAGAGGTACCTACTGCCCCGGCTCCCTACGGCCCTCACTTCCCCCTTGACACAAGCAGCCAGAGGGCTGTGGTCCTCAGACCAGAAATAGAAGGAATATTTTTCAGGAAATGATGAGGTTCAGTTTTTTTATTTTTTTTTTTTTTTTTTAAATGTGCTTCAAAGAGAGAAAAGGAGAGAGGCACAACAGCCTGGCTGTGAACCCTCCGGGGAGCTCCACGGCCCAACCAATTTGCAAACCTTTAGATGATAAACATTTGCTCCTCAAGTGCTCTCCGTGCATCTGCTCCAGTATCAGCAGGAAGGTGAACCGCAGAAAGCAGAGACTGGTGCTGATGGAAATTCAGTTTACAGCCTGGATCCCACAACTCCTTGCCCCATCAGAAATCCTCTATGGGTTAAAGGACATTCTGGAGACTGGAAAAAATTAGTAACTGCTCTTCGGTTCAACAGTATTATGAAGAACTACCGTTTATTACAATGACAATTGTAATAAGTACATATGTTCTAATAAACACAAATACAACAGAAATGACAATTCCTCCATTTGTGGTGATTCTTGGAAATACTCGTTTTGGAATATACACGTTTTTAGAAACCGGACCTTATTGGTAACCAATGGGAAGGGGAAAGGAAAGCGCTGGCCCGCGGGCTGCAGGGCTTTCACTCCATCACCAGGTAGGACCTGAGGTCAACACTGGAGTCAGGGCTGGGCAACCTTCGCAGCCCACAGGGTCCACAGACTCTTCTGCAGAGCAGGGGGAGCGACCAAGGAACTGGAAATACCTGTTCTAGTGCTTAAGAGGTTTTTTTTATATATTGCCTGTGGTGCAAGATGACAGCAGGGATCTCACGTTTAACTAAGAGCCACTTAGCTGCTAAAGATTGATTAGGAACAGAAAACCGTGCACGCCCGTGCGTGTGAGCCAGCTGGGGACTGATGCTTTAGGAGCACATGAAGGTCTACCATGATTGAGCTGTTCAATAGGCTTTGGAGTTTTTCAGTGACTGCTGACTGGGGTGGGACTTCCAGGTACCTGCTAAATCAGCGTTACAATCCAGAATTAAGAAAATCAGGAGAGAGACCAGGAATACCAAGCATTAAATCTTCAGAGAGACTACGATGGACAGTTTTATGAGAAAAACAAGGAATGCTTTATACACTTCAAGATACCTCTGTTTATAAAATGCTGTCATTTAGAACAGGGCGATGGGACAGCACTGGAAGGGAACACTCTCACTGCAGACATCTCCAGGGCAGACGTGGTTCTGCACTGTGCCAGCCTCACCAGAGGAAGGTCAGCCAAGTGCAGAACCAGCTCTGTGCCCCTCGGTCACCCGGTCCCCCTCTGATGTGTGCTCTACCTCCAGAAGGACTCCTCATTACCTCTCCATGCTTCGGAAGCAGCCTCACCACCCATGAGGTGTCCACTGCCCACTTAAAGGGAGCTCGGGGGGGTTCAGGGCTACTGCTGTCACTCTTTTTATTCCATGCCTTATACTAGTGAGGAAATGCAGCCAAGTGCAGAACCAGCTCTGTGCCCCTCGGTCACCCGGTCCCCCTCTGATGTGTGCTCTACCTCCAGAAGGACTCCTCATTACCTCTCCATGCTTCGGAAGCAGCCTCACCACTTATGAGGTGTCCACTACCCACTTAAAGGGAGCTCAGGGGGGTTCAGGGCTCCTGCTGTCGCTGTTTTTAATCCATGCCTTATGCTAGTGAGGAAATTTTCTGTCTTCCATACCTGTATGGCCAGGGCAGCAGAGGGGGGAAGGATAGCACAAGAAACGGCTGCCCTACTTTGTCCTCTTTCTGAGGGGTGGGAAGCCAAGTATGACAGCAGAGATCATGTCCTGCAGCTACGCTGGTGTCAAGGAGATTTCTCTCCTCCGTCAGCACTTGAGCTCTGTGGAGGCAGAGCTACAGCTGGAGGCTGGGACCGGATTCCTCAGGAAGGAAGAAAAGCTGGGAAATGTCTATTGACTAGTCAGAAAACTGGGAGGGTTTTCAAAAAAAAAACTGAAGTGGATGTCTGTTCCTCCCAAAAATAAGCCAAAAAACATATCATGCAGCTTTCTAACAAGCTTTCTAACACAGGGGATTAAATCTCCTAGTGAAACAGATGCTCTGCCTTCCATTTTGTGAAGGCAGGAAAGGAATAAACATGAGCAACACAAGCATTTTCCTCCACAACACACCTCATCGTCATGGTTTGAGTATGACTTCCACTGTATCCCTTTATTCCAATTGTTTGTCCGAATTTATGCCCCAATGCAGATGTACTAGAAAACGCGAAAGCACCACAAAGTGAGAGACACAGCTAGTGGTACGGTACTTCTTGCCACACAAAATGCCAATATAAATATGTTAGAACAAGTTACAAGTGTATCATACTTAAGACTAAAAAGAAAAAAAAAATAAATATATATATATATTTTTTTTTTTTTAAAGAGCAGAACAAATCTCAAGCAGCCAAGTGGTGAAGTTGCAGTGATGTACAGTAGGAGACGTAGCCCTACAACCTCTCGGGAAGATACACTGAAAGAAGACGTCTGCAAACGCATCTTGGCAAAGTATGGGTACAGAATGCAGTGGTTGGCTGGCACTCACTATGGTACAGAAATGTTAATGGCAGACTGGGAGTGAACTGATTTCAAGTTTGAGGCCACACATGTTCCATTCTCCAGAAGAAAGTTCTCACACAAAACGAAAATTGTCAGAGACGCGGGGTGAGTCAGTACTCCTCCTGCTGCTGGGGCTGTTCGTGGACCTGCTCTTCGCCTTCATGCTCTTCTGTGTGGCTCTCCTGCAGGGACAAAGAGACCCCAGAACATTCTTCAGCGCAAATCGTTCCTCACGTAACTTTGCCACCCACAGGGCTCACCGTAGCCTACAGTTTAACCTCTAATTTTCATGCATGTGACTCATTTTGTAGTTACTTGAGAAAAGCAGCATCTTGTGATATTACAATAAAACATATTTACTTTGCGTTCAGAATCATAGAATCGTCTAGGTTGGAAGAGACCCTTGGGATCACCGAGTCCAACCATCTCCCCTACTCTACAAAGTCATCCCCTACACCATGTCCCTTAGCACTGCATCTAAACGGCCCTTAAACACAGCCAGGGATGGTGACTCCACCACCTCCCTGGGCAGCCTGTTCCAATGCCCGACCACTCTTTCGGTGAAAAATTCTTTCCTAATGTTCAGTCTAAACCTACCCTGTTGGAGCTTGAAGCCGTTCCCTCTCGTTCTGTCACTAATTACCTGTGAGAAGAGACCAGCACCAACCTCTCTACAGTGTCCTTTCACGAAGTTGTAGAGAGTGATGAGGTCTCCCCTAAGTCTCCTCTTCCTCATACTAAACAGTCCCAGTTTAATCAAAGTGTATGCAGTACTGATACCCCCCCAGAAAAAGTGTCAGTTTTTAACATCACAGAGTGCTAACTGTTCCAGTAAATGACCACTTTGACTAGCGAGACAGCGAGACGCTCAACAGTTAGATGCTGTACCACAGCACCCTGATGTCCTCCCATTTTCAGTTTGTCCAAGGATTTCTGGACCTGTCTGCTAGAGTTTTCACACCATCTTCACTCTAGGTTTGTATCGCTAAATGGACATGACGCTTTTGCTATCACCTGCTTTAAAAATTAAACCCAGCCTCCTTTTTGAGGGCAAACACACTACTTCCCCAAAAATAACATACCCATGCTAGAACTAAGTTCGAAGATGATTTTTAGCAGCATCCACAAAATATTACTGAAGACTTGCAAACACATTTTCTTTGGGAAAAGGAAAAAATTGAGTCCGGCATTCACTGATTTCTAGAGCTACTGTTAAAAGCACTGATCACTAATAAACACATCCCTTTTGCAAACAGTCATTATGCACAGCATTTTCCACATCTGTCTCTCTGAATATACGTTGCCCTTTAGAGAAGAATCCCTGACCAAAAGGAAGGCTGGATCCTCACCAATGGTGATACCAGATTTAAACAATTTAGAGACAACGGGCCTGGATGTATCAGAGCTCCAAAGGGCTGGCTGACTCTTAGAGCATCACCTCTGCATTCCCATGAAGCGCAGCTGCGTTTACAGCTCTTCTCTCAAGTGGCTCCCGTCATCCCGGAGCGCGGTTCACTGGAAAGACCCCCCACATCTACTCCCTGCATCAGCGGAGCTCGGCTGGAGGCAGCGCCAAAGGAAAACACTTTTCCAAGACACTGAGGTGTCATTCAGAAGGCAGCATCACTGCTGAGGGACCTCTGCAGCGCTCACCTGCCTCCCAGCAACTTGTGTTGGAAACGTGCGGCTTGAACAATAAACTTGAACAAATTGATACTGCTAACTTACCCAATTGGAGGCAAAAATTAATAGAAAAGGGAGGCCATAATTTGAATTTTCCTAGAATAGTTCCAGAGCAGCTTATGCCATAAGGAAATTCCCTTCTGGCAATAAAAGATTCATATTTGGAACATAAAGGGTTCCACTTGAATATGAGGAAGAACTTTTTCATGGTGAGGGTGACGGAGCCCTGGAACAGGCTGCCCAGGGAGGGTGTGGAGTCCCCTTCTTTGGAGATTTTCAAAACCCGCCTGGATGCAGTCCTGAGTAACATGCTCTAGCTCTAGGCAATCCTGCTTCAGCAGGGGAGTTGGACTAGATGATCTCTATGGTCCCTTCCAACTCTAAAAATTCAGTGAAATTCAGTGAAATATTTCTACAGGGTAAGGACAGGAGAATAAGGCTCCCAACACTTGCTGATAAAATGGAAATATCCAGCTCTTTGCCACATACAGAAACACCCAAATTCCAATGGAAAGCAAGCTTTCTGTCCCTGGGGTGCTATTTTCAGGTAGAAGCCACACATGGTCAGTCAGGAGAACTGCAGTTTAACACCTTCCCTTGGGGCCAACGATGCCCTCATTACATACAGTGGGTGCATCACATCAAAACAGCTTTTTGCTTAGTACCTAAAAAATGGCAACTTCAGTGCCGGGCTGCAAGGGTGCAAGACTTGGTGAGAACAGGATTTTCACAGATAGAAGCTGACAGCTGTGAGAACCTGACCCTGCCCTACGGGGTGAGAAAACCCAAGCTTGTTTAGCTGCTGAGAGCCACCTTCCCTTAACCCCATCTGTCCTGACCCTCCTCATGCGTTGAGGTGACCTGCTCTGGAACACACCTGTTCCATAGGCTCTACGTATGCAGAGTTTATGACAGACACCTATTAGAAAGCCCACTCGTGCAGGTTTTACAGGTCACATACATGCCAGCCTTTCATGCATATAATAGGAAAAGCCTCTAACCACAGGGAGAGGCCTGGGAACCTACTCTGAAGCTCTGAAGAAGAGTGGTGGCTCCTCTCTTGCCAGGCTTACCCTTGACAGAAAGGGTAAATCTGATGTCACTCCCTCAGAAGTTGTTCTGGACACGTGCTTCTCAGTATGTAAGCTTGTATATATACATGAAATGGGAAAGATGAGAGTAACTATGCCCAATTACCTTGGGACTGTGGAATCTCCTTGAATAGCATCCCCTAATAAGGGAAGTAAGGGAAGATCTATTTAGAGCATTTATTTCTGGCTCGGATCACAGGACTATAGTCATCTGTGTCTCCCACAACAAGAGGTGCTCTCTTTTCACCCTTCAAAACATCTGGCCTCAAACTCTTCAGGTGTGCCCATAGATTGAAGAGGTAGGCTTTATGAAAACCAGCTGCTGGGGGCCGGGGTGGGTGCCTTTTTCCACAAGCAGCAGCAGCAGATGTAGTAGCTGCTCGAGCAGAAAGATACAAAACCAACTGCATTTGAGTAATTGCTTTGGAAGCTTGGGCTGAGCAACTGATAGCTGAAACAACAGCAATCCACCCAGCTTCTGCATGAACTGAACCAGAAGCAGCCTATGTAGCAGAGCAAAAGCTTTCCTACATTTTTGCTTTATGCCAAGACCTACGTGGCTCCAGGTTTCCTAACTGGACTCATAGCCTCTTGTGGCTCATCCTACCCGAGGTCTCAATGCTGTCTATAGCTGTCATAGCACAAGTGCTAGGGGCCACTTCTGCCCACCACCCAAATTTATCTTTAACACCGTTCTCTGTCAACTTTGACATTTTTGGTGAAGAAGTAGGATTACAAATGAGCAATCTGTAATTAGAAATGACAAAGGACTACAGGCTGACCAGCTGAATATTAAGTGACACTAGCAGATACAACAACTCTCTTGCATAAGCAAAGACATATTGACGAGATTTAAAACATCACCCTAACAAGGAAGAGAAAAGAGAGCCTCTAAAAACAAGGAACCCAAATGGATTGATATTTTTGCTGCAAGACTCAAAAACTCACCAAAATCAAGACAATAATAATTTAAAAATAAAAAAATCATTCTTAAAAATTTAGCCTTTACTGAATAAACAAAATGGAAGTCTATGTAGATACGGTTGAAACTACATTATGGCTTGGAATCCTGAAAAAATAATTAACATCCATACATCCACCTCCCATGACGTGATCCAGATAAAAATCTCTTCAATGCCATACTACAATAATTAAACCTACGAAGAATGTTTTTTATAGGGATTAAACTCTTACTTGCATCCTGAATCATTCTACACCGAATTCACCCAGCAGCCTACAATGCTCACACAGCACCTATGAGCTACTGGAAGGTGCGACACTGAAGTGCTGTCTGGACTATTTATTCTTATTTTTTCTTTTGGAAGGACTAAATCAGGTATAACAGAAAATTAAGTATAAAGGGAGACTCATCCCTTCTGAATAAGAACAGTTAGTATGAAAAAAGGACGTGATCTCTATGCTATGTCAAATATACTGGACTATTTATTCTTATTTTTTCTTTTGGAAGGACTAAATCAGGTATAACAGAAAATTAAGTATAAAGGGAGACTCATCCCTTCTGAATAAGAACAGTTAGTATATAAAAAGGACGTGATCTCTATGCTATGTCAAATATACTAGAAGCCTGTCAAATTACAGCTAGGTAGGAAGAGTTCAAGATTGCTATCAAGCAGCTATGAAAAAAGGACGTGATCTCTATGCTATGGCAAATAGAAGCCTGTCAAATTACAGCTAGGTAGGAAGAGTTCAAGATTGCTATCAAGCAGCTATTGGAAATATGAATTGAAAACAAATTTAAGTGAGTCAGGATGTTCAAGCACAAGGCTTTGGTAAGGTCTCACTTGTGATAGAAGCCTGTCAAATTACAGCTAGGTAGGAAGAGTTCAAGATTGCTATCAAGCTGCTATTGGAAATATGAATTGAAAACAAATTTGAGTCAGGATGTTCAAGCAGACACTGAAGTGCTGTCTGGACTATTTATTCTTATTTTTTCTTTTGGAAGGACTAAATCAGGTATAACAGAAAATTAAGTATAAAGGGAGACTCATCCCTTCTGAATAAGAACAGTTAGTATGAAAAAAGGACGTGATCTCTATGCTATGTCAAATATACTAGAAGCCTGTCAAATTACAGCTAGGTAGGAAGAGTTCAAGATTGCTATCAAGCAGCTATTGGAAATATGAATTGAAAACAAATTTAAGTGAGTCAGGATGTTCAAGCACAAGGCTTTGGTAAGGTCTCACTTGTGCAGTCTGTGAGAGCTGCATCACTGCACATTCCCTTCCTGAAGAAAAGCCTCATGGCCACAGTATCATTTACAAACATCACAAATCCTGAAAATTAATGTAATCCTTTTTTTTTTCCACTTTGCCTCTGTATACTTAAGACACTCTGAAAGAGATTTAAAAAAAAATAAAAAATCTAAGCTGGATTTACAATGAACTCATTAGCAAGAAACTAGGAATGCTGGAGTTGCCTGTGGTTTGGGAATTTGGGCTATTTCCCATCTGGGAGTTGGGAAAGCCAAACTGCTGTTTATCAAGGGATTAACCTGAAAAATGCTGCAAGATACAGAATTTAACTTGGGACAAATTCATTACAGAGAGAAAAAAAACCCAGAACTGAAGGGCAAAGCAGGCCAACGAGACAGCAGAGTCTGAAAACAAAACGCAGGCAGGATCTGCATCACCAAAGGAACCAGAGTCTTTGGTTCAGTGCTAATGCACTGGGGTCTTTCCTCAGCAAATTTCAGTCCAGCTGCTGAGCTGAGGAGGAAATGCACCTCAGAAAATGAGGAGATTAAGTCTCCCACCAAAAAGTACAAAAAAAAATAATAATATTGTGTGGGGAATGGCCTCTGTATTCTTCTCTGTGGGAGCAGCACTCTCCTGCTGAGGTGAGATACCCAGCCTCCAACTGCAAACACGTTTTAGGTAACGGAAAGGTTGTTGTATGTAGATCCCCCACAGGCACGGATGAAGCCGTCAACAGAGAAAGGCTTGGGTGAGGAAGCAGATAAAACACTGGGATGTGGAACTGAAGTAGAAGATTTTATAACGTGTTCTGCCAGTAAGGAAAACTGCAGGAAGAAAAGCAACAAACGCATTCCTTGGCGGGGAAATCGCTTGCTATTCAAGCCAACAGACCAGACAGATGTGGTAGGGGGTATGGGAAGAAGAAGGATTTTTCTGGCTTTGCTTTATAAATAAATCACTGTTCTTGAATCTAAAAGACATTTTCTCTGACCACTATATGCATGTAATTCTTTTAGCCTGTTATCACGTGCCTGGCAAATTCATCTTATTGTTTATTCCCATTAAAATAATGGTTTTCCTTGTCCTTTTCCTCTCTAGCGCTCGCCCTGCACCGTTGAACAAATCCTCTTTCCCCTGTCACTTCTCATCTGAGCAGTGGCCTCTGTCAGGGGCAAGCCCCTGTCCCTGCTGCACCTAACTTTCATTTATGCTCTACCAGTCTTTTTTAGACAAGCACACGAGTTTGTAGTTGCTTCGGCACCACTTTTGATATAAAATTTTAAGTCAGCTGGCTGCTGCTGCAACAGCTTTCTGGGAATAGAGAGGAGACAGCCTACGGTACCACCGTGCTGCCGAGAGATTAGGTTGATGCTCACACACTCTGGAGCCAAAGCCATCATCCGCTGGAGACCGAAGGGTCAATCGTCAGTACAGTGCTACACAGGGATTTAGTTAACGTGAATGGGAGTAGTTCAGCTAAATCTCCACCGAATCATTATCCCTGAATGTATCTGAGGAATTTAACCAGCACCCTTTGCAGCCTCTCGCTTTGTTAAGTGTCTACAGCGCCGAGGTCTAAGATGCAATGAGATTCTTGCTTAATCTTGCAGACAATACATTTCTGAGATTTTGGTAATAGAGGATTATTGGGTTTGCACAAGGAAGAATTTTGCCTCTAGCAACAGCATTTTAAAAAAATGTTAAAGAGCATTATCTCTGCAGATATAATTATGTATTTGGCAACCTGTGCTGTACATAATACAACACTGCCACATGGGCTAGAGAATGCTCACAGCTGTAGACATTGAACAGCACCTCTATGATTTTCAACATGTTAAAGAAAAAAGATTATACAAAAAGGTGGAAGAGGAAAAAACAAAACTAAGGCTCAGAACCATATGAGATCAATTATAAACTGACACACACTCTCCCCTTTTAGATCGACTTCAGCACAGATAGAGCACAAAACCTACACTGAAGCAGTGGAAAGCAATTGGCCTCCTAAATGCCTTTTCCAAGCTCAGAAGTCTGCTTTTTGCAAATACAAATTCTCTTTTTTTTGGGGGGGAGAGGCACAGAAACCCTAGCAGCTACAAGTTCTGCTCACCTAAATATAGGAAGTAACCCAATACAGTGACAATAATTTTTAACAAAATTAAGCTTTTTTGTTTAAATAAAAGACATTAAGCTTCAACTTACGTGTTCATCTGAAGCATAAAGGACTTCCATTAGCCGATTGACAAGGTCATTATTCTCTCCCCCGTGTTCTTGGCAGAGAAGTTCAATCTCCCTTAATTTGCCAAAGTAGAAATCCCTTTCCTTCTCCACGCCTTCAAGTGCAAGTTTTAATGAATGTACCTGCACATAAACCAAGATGTGATGCATCAGTTGTGGGGTGCACTACAAACAAAACAACTCAGTCTAAGATACAGCATGTGAAACAATCTTAAATATATATTCAATTTGACGCTTAAAATGAAGTTCTCTTTTTCTTTTAAAGTGCTGGATCGAACCTTACATGATAGCATTAAATTGGGCTCCCCCATTACACCTCTTGGATACATCTTAACCTTGATCCTTAAAGGTCAAATTTTTCAGTGCTCTTTTATATCAAGACCCAAAGAAGCAGCGCTAATTAAGACTTGGCTTTAACAAAGCTGCCAGAAGTGTCAGGTAATGGTAATGAATAAAATTCTCAGCTCAGTACTTGCGTTTTTTCGTCTGGATTAATGTGCAGTTGTTGGGAAACCTACAATAGCTCCTTGCCTAAAAATACATAGATCTAGCAGAAAAGCTCCCAAAGGGAAATTAGTTAAGAAATTAAAAGGTCCTATAGTCACAAGTGAGAGTCCTGCTGTGTTGCTTTTTCCAGCTCTTCTCTTTTCTGCCTCCCCACTTGCCACGCTGTTGGAGACCTGCCTTTTGGCACCTTGATGCTGTGAGCGGCTGCACCAGAGACTCTCTGCTCTGACTGATGTGCTGTTTCTATCAACAAATTCTCTCAGATGCCAAGTATCTTTCTCTTTGCAGCCTTGTTCACGAGAGTCTTCAAGCTATACTGTCAGTGTCAATGTCACCACCAGGACCACTGCAAATCATTTCGGGCAACAGAGCTGTTAATGATTAGGCTTCATATAAAACACGACAGATGGTGCAATCTATTTTTATACATATATATACATAAACACATACTTATTTAAAAAGAACTATTTTTTGGGAGTGCAAACTACTGTCCAACGGGATATACACAATCAGGATAACATGTAAGTGGCTCTCAAATTTGGAAGACAGCAGTGTTAACAACCAAATGAAATAATCATGGATGGAGCTGCTTACAGTAAACACAGTGACCCCAATCATGTCCAAACTACAGTCAAATTAGCATCCACATTTTAAGGCCTGCAATTATACAAATCATTTTCTAAATAAAATATGTTAAGTAAATTAAATCGCAGGCTACATTTCAGTGAACTGATATAATTCAATACAGTTCTGTGTTGCCAGTTCTACTGCAAAGCTAATTTATTCCTTCCACTAGTGGAAATACCAGCAGAGTTCAAACAATGCTTTGACAGCCTACTAAATCCCATCAGTTCATCTTCCCGTAACTGCTGAGCTAGCAAAGCCCTCTTCTGACCTTTGGTTGCACTCTCAGAGGTGTCAGACAGCAGATCTGACCTGTTACCAGGGCTGGATCTCAGAGCATCTCAATCATGTACTACCCTGTTTCTGACCAGCAGCAGAGTCTTCCCTGGACAGTTTGAATCTATGATTGATACAATGACCAGTCACCTTAAAATTAACTATTTATTCATGAAAGTAGGAATAGCAAAATAGAACAGGAGTTTATAATGCTGTGGTCTAAAGATGAAGACCTTACATTTGAGACGTGTCTTCTGGAACTGCAGCAGCATATTCCTGGAGAGGAATACCTGCATCCAGACAGAAGGAGAATGTAACTGCTTCCAGATCTCTTGCTCTGCTTGCTAGAGCTTGGGAAAACAACAAACTTCAGCTGAAACATTGGCAGCCAACAGCCCAGGCTGTCTCTGTCCCTTCTGACCTAGTTACTATGAAGGCATTTTCTCCTGCTATCCTTCTATACATTCACTCCTTTTTAAGAAACAGCATCATTAACATTTTCATATATGCACACAGTTAATTAACTACAGTATATGGTAAATACTGTTATAACCAAACCAGCTACGCCTTTCTTCAGTTACATATCAGCTACTTGTCCGTGACATATTAATTTGTTTCTCTTCAGGTAATTACCACTATTTTCCCAGCTATAAACATGCCCCAAGGCTAATCCTGTTTGAGCAACAGTGCACGTTAACTCCCATGCTCTGTTTCTGGACCAGAGGCATCCCTCTGCAATACAGGGAATGGGTGCAAAGGCAACACTTCTTACCAACCACTCTTTTCTCTGGTGGCACTTACTGGTGGTAGGAGAACTCACAGCACTGCAGAACCAGGCTGAAGATTAAGTGTATACGATAGACGAGCAGCCAAGATGGTGCTATTTTCAGAAGCTTTGTGTATACTATCATACAGTTAATGGTTCCTGGGACCATTCTCCATATCTAATGGTCCCTGGTCTGTGTTGTCTCCTTAACTGCACTCAGGCTCTTTGGGGGAGTGTTAGCTGGCACAGGTCAAAACCACAGCAGGGACCATTATTGTGCTATGGGCAATCAAGTTCCAGGGCACAGTGACATTCCTTGGAAGTGTTCAATTTACTAGTACAGACCAACTCCATAGCTAAGGCCGTTTTAAGAGAAGCTTTAAGATTGTTGGGAGCCATTTAAATAGCAAATGTTATAGATGGCTTGTGATCATTGCCAATAGCTCATTAAGCAACACCACGGTAAAATATAGCGTATGGACGGCCCCACTAAAATTTTTCCACTACAAATTGCATGGAAGTTTAGATGTTTCAGTCTCCCTCAGCTGCCACCCATGAAAGGGCTGGAAAAAAATCCATTACAGCCACATAGGCCTTCGATATCCACAGACGCCATTCACCTTTTCTTAGTCATGATCAAGAGAGCAAAGGGCTAAAAGTGGCTGCTGCCCTCATCTCCCAGGTTGCCGGACAGTAGCAAAAAATGGGCAACTTGGCTCTTCCAGCATGTTCAGAGTGGGGGTTTGAAAAACCTGGCTCAGAGCTGCTTGCAGCATAGCTTTTTTGGCTTGCGTGATATGCCCAGTGTGCACAAGTAACCATTAGTGGGAAATGAAATACCAAACGCTGCCAGCATTAAAAAACAAATCCTTGCAGACCTTTCTAGCAAGAAGAGGTCTCTTAAAAACTAGCTAATAAAACACCAACTTTCCAAATCCTCAAAATTTCTTCTCCTCTTCGGTCATGGGGGAAAATCATCAGTTTTGCCTCAGGGTTATTTGTATGTAAAGCTTAAGGTTTTCACATGTGGAATGTGCTAGGAATACATTAGCAGTGGATGTGATAGTGGCTGCCTATTTTAGTAAAGATCAAATATTTTTATGTTGCTCAGATCCCAACCAACTCTCCCTGCTGAAGCAAACACATTCCAGCTTCTGAATACAAATGTCATGGTTTAAGTTGCGTTAAGCTGATGTTTGGACTCCACTCTCACATTGAGTAAAAAAAACAAAGTCCATGAAAAATATATATACATGCATTCATTATGCAACATATAAAAACTTTTCTGTTACAGCAACAACCAAAAGCCCATTTGGAAGTCTGGGGACCCTGCTGTGCTCTCTACTGCTCAAAATTATACCCTGAAACTGCAGTATGCCACGTTTAGGATGCGGCTATACATCCACCACCTTTAAGTGCATAACAGTAACCAAGAATTTGCAAACAGTGCCTCAGCAAAGGGAAATCTTTGTTGTTCAGGTCAACGAAAGTCTGAAAATTAAATGCCCTTAATTTTGGAAAATTATACTTGATCCAGAATAACGACTTCTTCCTGAATGCAGCTGCCAGGCAGCTCAGACTGTAAAATATGAGGTTTTTCCTTTCCATTTTCCCTTGTCCAGGACAAATGCAGGGATCATGCCTCACTGATATTAGTAGCATTTACACCATTCTGACGGCACATTCTTGAGCCAGATGCAGATATTTATTCACATGCACCGCAGACATTGCTTGCATGTCCAGGGATGACAGTGTGATGTAAAGCTCCATAGCATACATGAAAATTAAGCCCTTACATTCATAACATTAAAGAAATTATGAAGCTTTCAGAACATTACTTATATTGTAACTAAGTATTCTCACAAAGGTAGATCACATTTTTAAACGAAAAAGGCATTTTACCTTCTTAGTGCCTTCCCTCCAGGAAGCAGAGTGCAATGAGCTAGTCTCAATTCAGCTTCAGATCTCTAACACCTTGGTATTACAAACAGGCTAGTTTTCCTCACAGCGACACATAAAAATGATTTATTTCAAATTTTTAATACACAAGAACAAAGACACTACTGGGATTTTTCCCGCCCAAGTGAAATAAAAGATATTTATCAAAATCTAACAAAATTATCATACTTCAGCAAGACTTACCTGTCATTCCTAAGACCACCTTTTAAAAATACTGGTGAATACCAGTCATCTGTCAGATGTTATTTTTAACAATAAATCACTTTTTTCTTCCCAGCTGAGCTACTTCAATCTTTTGTGCCCTCATAATTCTGGAGAGCATCATTCAACAGAGGGCAATATTAGATTTCATGACTGCCTGTGACAATGAATGCCCCTAATTTATGCCTAAAGCATATTTACCTGTTCGCTGAGCTGTATGACTTGAGTTTCCAAATCTTTATCTGATTTGGATGCTGAGCTGCTTGGTGCAGCTTTTTTTGCTGAAGATGGGCGAGAAGGTGTTGATCCTGGTTTAGAAGCTGGACTGGATTTAGCAGCGCCTGAAAAGTACAAGAAATACAAAACAATCAAGATTTATTCCCATGATAAATACATTCCTATTAACCTGGTATGGAAACAAAAGTATTCGTTTTACAGACAGCCATTCTCTCTGGTACTTCAAAGTGACAGTGGAAGAAGTTCCAGTGTTGCTATACCTTGGAAAAATAAAAACCACATTTCCTAGCAGTTTTACTTTGAGTTTGCTACTGAGAGTGAAGCAACTCTGAAAGTAAATAAACATCAGACTAAGACTATAAGGTTCCCTTAGCTGTCAGCAGCTTTCAGCTTCAAAAAATACGCCGTTAACAGACCATTCCTCCAGCCCAATATTTAACGCGCAGATCTATCCTCAATTCCCCTGGAGAAAGACAGATGTGAAAACCTCAGCTAAACTGTGCTTTCCTCATTTTCAAGTGTAAACCATCCCCGCGACAAGGGCATTGACATTCAGACAGTGCACGCAGAATTAAATCCATCAGTGAACCCACAGTTGCCATAGTGACCAAGAGATGAGTTTTGATCTGCTTCAGTTTTGCTATTTGTCTTTCATTATTTGCGCCGCAAATCTGCCAGAATATGGAGGAACATCATCTTCACCAGCAAAAGAGGCAACTCACAAGCATGCATAGGTACTCCTCCATAATGCCTGTGGCACACAAATGCCCAAAGCAGAGGAAGGTTTGTGTGAAAGGTTCTGCAGTGCCTTCACAGCCAGCTCCTCACACCTTACTCTGCCTCCCCATCTTTCCCCTTCTCGTCAGTATTCATTTGGTTTAGTTGCTCAGCCCCCGTCCACGGGTGCCCGGCTCACAGCAGTCCACCTTGCCTTGGCTCCCACCAGTGCTGGACTCTGACTCACAGCCTTCTCCTTAGCTCTGGGCTAGCAGTTCACCAATTCCACAGGGATTTGTCCCAGCTTTCTCAGCAGTCACCTTCCCTCGCACACATCCCCAACCACTCCTCCCATAAGATTATTTTATTTATGACACACTACAAATTATTCACAGAATCACATGGGGTTGGAAGGGACCTCTGGAGATCATTTAGTCCAACCCCCCTGCCAGAGCAGG